GAGCCGCGGCAGAAAGGAATTCTTTTCTCATTGACAATAAGTAGAACGCTGGAAACGAGGTCAAGAGATATGAACTCTCCGAGCGAGGCGATGCATCCATTCCCTTCAAGCAACAGTCTAAACTATGATAAAAGGTTTTTGCATAGCATCGCCGTATATTCTGTGTATATTTCTGTAAACTCTACTTTCCCACTTAAATAATTCATTGCACATTTATTATATCGTACGTATTTACATTATATCGTTGCACGCAAAATTAGAGCAACGTTTTCGTAAAATTTATTTTACGACCATCGTGAAATTTTTTACAGTTTGAAACTTTTCCCATATTTATTTCATATACTTGCGGACGAATTATTTTGAAATTATTGCGAAATTCCCACATAATTTACCGTACCGTTAAATTTTTTATAATTCCAAACTCGTAAATTATTGCAAATTTTTGTTATCTTCCCTCTTTAAATTATAAATTAAACTTCCATTTGTCACGTGTGTTTCACAACGCACGTATCGATTATTTTACAGTTATCGCAATCTTTCGTATAATTCTAAACTCGTGAATTATCGTAACTTAGTAAACTGCAATCACTTTTCGAATTTTAATTTCAATTTTCTACCTATCGTCGTACTTTCCCACGCGGATTAACTATTTCACAAATATTAAATTTATCATCAGAGATCCATCGAATAAGCGAATCCAATTTCTCGATCAATCATGCGTGCTTCAAGAAGCAATTACAGGTGCAAACGATTAACCTTCTATGCTTCGTAACGAGTAGTATAGATCGATGGTTCGACAGCATTGGAAATCGTAAACGCTGGTATTTCGAACGATAGCACGATTCTTCGAACATCTACCAGTTCTCATGAGAAGTTCGATGACCTACAACTCAAGTATGCAGCGGACGATGCGAGATCGAGGGAGGAAAGCCGATTCATCAACATCTTCCTGCCCTGCACTTTCGATTTCCGATATACCTTATGAACTACGTATACTTCTGTACGCGTACTTGGAACATTTCTAATTATACGAATTGTACGACCGTTGTTATCTTAGGGGAAGATCGTCGGAAACGTTTCGTCCCATTTCACGCCAGCCACTCGATTATGAATATTTATAACCCGAAGCTATTTCGAGAACTCTGTTCGGCCATTTCTTTCCTCTCCCTTTATCGCTGCCGTCATAACAATAAATCTCTTCGAACAAAGACGTTTCTTTGCGAAAAGAAAAACCTTCGTCTCAGCGAATTTATGCGATGAAAACGGAAAGACGGCTGTTTCTGTACAAGATACTTTCATCTTATAAGAACGACAAATAGCGGATAGCGAACAGCGAATTAGCGGTAGCTACAGGTCAACTCTGAAGGCTTACGTCTGAGTTGATTATATTTTAGTCGAATGTAATCGTATTTTAAACGCTCTGAATATCTAAATATCAAGTGTACAAACGAATGAGTCAAATTTTTCGCCGGAACTGGAAGTTTAGTTAAGAAAGAAAATAGATATAGAAAAGGAAAAAAATGTAGCAAGCTGTTCGATAGGAATATTTGTCGTTGCTGTCTATAAATTTGGCTACCTATGAAGCAGGTGACGAGATCCATCGTGGAAAATTATTTTGTCTTTAAACAAGATGAAATCGTCAGGACCAAGAGACGAAAGACATCGTAATGAGCCTGGTTTGGGACGTCTTGCAGCAGCGAACTTTGGAGTGCTACTTGTTCCGGTCGATGTAACACGTCTTATCCTACATCCACTTCCAATTAGTGGATCGGATACAAAAGTGACTTGACGATTAGATCTCGTCTAAAGACATAGCATTTTATCGCGATGGAATTCATCTATTGCCTGATAGATCGCTTAAAAGTTGTAGAAAGCAAAGGCGAATATCTCGATTGAGCAAATTGCTATACTTTCTCAAAAATAGACTTCGAATTTCAGATTAAGAAATTTGTACACCTGATACAACGTTCAACGAATCTTGCAATCATTCTCCTAGAGAAAAATGTGCGTCGTAATGGAATATTCTTGGCAATTGGAAATTTGAATCGCTTTTTACGATTTCTGTTGCAATTAGTGGCTGAATTCCACAATCCAAAAGCAATATGTACCCAAGTGGACAATGTACTATTTCGAAATAAAAGTTGCATACGTTGAAATAGGAAAAATAGCTTATACACATATACATATCGAATAGAGACGAACGTGAAATTCAACACGCAGATACACAGACCTGTCGAATTTAAAGCTACCATTTCAAAAATTCACGCATTGTCATATTTATCACATCGTTGTAATATAAAGGATGGTTGGTAACTGGTGGTACATGCGGGAAGGGGGCGATTCTACGCGAAAAACGAAATATAGAATAAAACGAAAATATAGAATAAAAGTTTGTTTTTAATTTTTTTTTTTAATTTTTCCATCGAGACAACGATCTACAGTGAAATCCGTTATAACGTACCGCACGCGTACCGAGCGAAAATTCAAAGTGGATTTTCTCGAAAACAAAGCCTCAAAGGAAAAATTGTTATTCTATATTTTCGATTTCTTTTTTCGCGTAGAATCACCCCCTTTCCGCTTGTACTACCAGTTCCCAACCACCCTGTATAACAACTTTTCTGCTTTTAACACGTCTAGAAATTCTTAATTTCTATTACGGAACTTGTGCTAAAATACACGAGAAGCTATTTCAATTTGTTAATTTCGTTACGTGTAATTATGACATTAATACATGCAAAATCAGTTTCATACTAACTAATCCCATATAAAATTTGTGATTCTACGTTATTCAATTTTCATGTTCATTTCCACATTTACACGAATTATTTATTAGTACTTCGAGTTACTATTAATGTACTTTGTATTCGATGCAATGCGCAATTTTAGAATATAATTATTTATAAATTATTCTATTTTGATGCAGCTATTGGTTATCGATGTTATTTATGATTTTCTCATCGTCGTTTAATATATATTCGTATATTATCTATCGGTCAGAAACTATGCCAATCAATTCTATAAATTAAAAATGCAAAGAGCAATCAGGATTACAAACATTTTCGAAAATTTATCTTTGAGTCATTACGATTATTTATTTTACGACGAGTTTTCTAGGTTTCATAAAGCGACATGATGGACTGAGTAAACTGCACTGGTTGTTCGTACAACCCACGTACAAAATCGCGCAACAAACTACCTGTTAAGTTGACGTGTAAAAGTTCCAGATTCGTTTCAACGCGAAACTAATTAACGACGATACACGCGTTTCTTGAACAATTTAACAAACTCGCAGAAATTTAATAGAACTTGATAAGCAACTTTTATTGTACAAATATGTTTCTAGATACGTGTACACGTATTTCATAGCCAGAGAATTAAATCGGCGTGGAAGACATATTTGAAATTCAGATACGTTAGCGAAGATACGTAACTACAGGAAGAAGGCGGCGATTGATCGATGCGATCGTAAAACGACGGCGCAACAAATTGGGAACAGCAGCTGCATTAAAGAGGGAATCAGAACGACGCGACGCGACGCGGCAGATCCGGAGCGGTTAATTAGCGTGTTACGGGCAAACGAGGACCCTGATACCGTTACGTATCTCGCGAATGCGAAATCCTACGAGCTGGAACGATAATGATCTAACGATATATACACACACGCTCCACGCTTTTCCCCTGACTGTTGGCTCTTTGTGCGTTCGCTCTCACACCTTGACCTTCTTCAACCGGGAAGTCTAGCCTCCCTTGAAGGATATTCGCATCCGAAGGACGCCATAATGCGTACGTACGCGTGTACGCGCATTGTGTTTCTACAGTCTGCCAACCAATTTAGGAATTTACGCGATTTATACGATTATGGTTAAATATTTTTTTTCTTTCTGATTTTAATTACACCGGGAAGATAGTTGGGGCGCGAGAATGTACATTTCACATCTCTCAAGACTATGACCCGAGCACGTGTTGTTAACGACAAGTGCGCACGTTGGTTTCTACACGTTTAACATTGTTACCTTTGTATCCTTAAAGCAGAGAACTTTCTCAGGTAATTAGGATCGCTGTTTTTTCGTCGCCTGTTTTTTATCACGAATGGATTAAGGATTTTTATCGTTTCTTCGTTTGCAAATATAGCAAATGTTCGGTAATCGTTAGCGGCGTTCTGTGATGAGATTTATATTCATTCATTTATTCAGTCGACTTCGAAAGTCTGTTACTTACAAGATATTCTGCATTTTAAATATTCAGGAAAATATTTTTGAAACTCATCGATTTGGAATAATCAATTTTGGAATGTAATAATCAATCTCGTATCACCAAAAGTGTCCTCTTATTTGATTCTAACTCTAAATATGTATCTTCGCGCGCTATTGAACATTTCAAAAAAGATTCTTTACTCGATTTTCTAGAAATTTTCATGGGTTTACCAACCATATTCAAGAAACTTATATTTGTGAACCGAACAGGTGGTTCGAAACGAAGAAATGAACGAAGATGAAGTCGTGACGAAAAGAGAAAAAAATTGAAACGGACGTTCTTCTCTAACCATAACAACACAGGATAGCGTGAACTTCCGCGTAAAACAGTTTTGTTTATAAAAAGGCAGAGAGTGTTATTTTAACTTGTAAACTTCGAACATGTTACGGTAAACCTTGTAATTTCTAGCTTTAATTTTCCCAGAAACAATTTATAAAGAAAAAAAATGTTAATGGGTCTACTTGCACTCTAACCTGAATTATTAGTTTCTTCCATGGGAAATTAATATTCCACGATGAAAATGATCAGGATGGTACGTAAGCAACACGTAAAGCGACTTTCTATTCAATTTGGAACATCACTTTCTTGATAAAATATCGCGCGAGTTATTCATCTATCGAATATCTATCGAATCCAACGACAGTTTCAAGTTACACACCAAGTTTCCAACTATGCGTTGGTGCAAATATACAAGTTATGTGACCACGAGAAAGTTCAAAGGAGATGTAACGGAGTGAAAAACTCACCGGATGAGAGTTGATTTGCCGACAGGATCTCGTCTTCTCCAGGTTGAAGGCGAACTTCCATTTTTCGCAGACGCGAATGCAGCTCTCTTGTGTGCAAAAAGAGGAAAAGGGTGCTGGAAATCGCGATAAGAGCGATCAGCTCGATAGTCCTGTAAAAGAATAATCGAATCAAGCAGCTGCTCCTACATAACAAAAAACAACGATCTAATGTTATTTTGCACGTTTGTGATTCTTCGGATTTCAATCGCGTCATTAGCAGCTTGTCTTTTGTTTCCATGTTTCAAGAATGTTCTGGTTCGCTTCTTCGAGTCAGACTTGACAAGAATATATTTGTTCCCAAAGAATCACAAATACGTCTGATCGTCGTAAATGCGTAAAATCACAAAAATTGGCTACTGGTACGTTTCTCGCGTGGCTTTTAAAAATTCCTTACACGTTCATTTAACATTCACAAAAATTTTCTAACGCAAATGAGCTACTTTACTTAGGCAAGAAACTTTCAATTCCGGACGCATTCTTCTAAACGGATTAATTGGTAGAATTGGTTTCGGCAAATATTGACACCCTGTAGCCTTAGATCCGTTAACTTGGTCGATTCCTAATCTCTTTGCAAGAGAAGACTTTCCATCGAGCAAATAAAGGTAGAACGAGAAAACATTCGAGAAACTGTGGATGTCCGTTTTCCCAAAGCAACGTGTCACGAGCGGACCGTCATGTGGGTTGTCGTCGCCGGAGGAAACAGGGCATGGCAAGCAAAGTTATCTGTCCCGTAATTGATCATTCTGTTCGCGGAGATGGTTCACGTGCGACCTGGTTTCAAGCGATCCCACGTCGACCGTGAAAGGACGACCGTCACCGGGGAGATACAAAATTGCGCTCCGATGTTACAGAGAACCCGAACATTTCTTCGTTGCACGCCGTGTGCGGTTTGTAACTTCACGGAACGGCCGTAATTACGGCAAAGGATGACAAAGTAAGGAATCCGGGGGAATTTCCCCCGGGAATGACGACACGTCAAAGCGTCTGTGTGAACAGGTTTCCAGGTGGAAAATTTTAGTATTATTGAAACTCGAATGGTTTGAATTACGTTAAAATGCGTATAAAGAAAATTCAATTTTATATTGTAGGTGTAATCATACTGCCGACCATAAGCAATAGAGCCACTTTATATATAGTTATATTTGGAAAAGACTTCATTTAATATTTTATTTAATACAATAGGACATTTATTACATTTATTGGAAAAATGTCCGTTCAATTTTATTTTATTTAGTATTTTCTCTGACATTTTATTCAATACCTTTTCGTTAAAAGATACGAAAATCGAAGAAAAATGTAAATTATTCGTTCTTCCCGCTAAAAGTCAAACAAAATAATTAAAAATTCGAACAACGTACTTAAATACAGCGAATCTGTTTAACGTATCCGTCAGTTTGGTCAATTCTCGTTGACCTTCGATTATTTCCACGTATCGTAGTCGTTTTTAATAAAATCCAAAATTTCTAAAAATTAATACCATTTACTTGAACTATTTTCACGCGCTCAAGCAATTTTTAATCAAAGCGAAAATTTCTACGAATTAACACTATTTTACATTAAAACCATCAAACAGGATTTGAAATTTTTCTTGTATTTCGAAAAATTCTAGACAAGATGGTACATCGTAAGGAAGACCATGCTACATCTTTCTTCAAATACAGTTATATCTAGTACAACGTATATTTCCACCCTTCAGATGCATCCATATCTTCATCACGTCACCATACATTTCAAATATGCATAAAGCAGAAACAGCATCGCTTTCCGCTTCATTAAATTAATTCGACAAGTTTATTATAATCTGCAACTGGGGATAAACGACACAGCTAAAACGTACAAACCGTGCAACAAGTAGTATCATATCGACATCGATCCGGGCTATAAAATTCTCCGTAATTACCATCGACTACACGCTATCGTGATGATCATACTCGATGAAAGAATAATCTATTTATCACCTTACCAGTTTTTCCCCCATGCAGGAAGTAATCACATCAAACGTCGGTTGTTTCGATTCCGCGATCGACACGCGTTTCGCATCTCATTGAAACGTTTCTTTAGAAGCGATCCCTCGTCTATTTCTCACGTCGTACGGTAAAACGTCATCCTCGATGACGTTCTTTTCAACCCGTTCGGACGTTGACACACGCGGAACGCCATGTGTCGCATAACTTTATAATGGTTTACGATCTTTGAACGAGCAAAATCGTGACCGCGAGAACCGGAAATTCCGATAAAAGATTTCTTGTATCGCTTACACGATTTAGAACCGGGTTCTGCAGAAGAAAAAGAAAAGAAAAGGCATCTTTTCATAGAACAAACGAAGTGGGAGTTCGCGTAACGTTATCTCGCGAGCTTTGCATAATTCCTAGGAATTACGTGATTCAATTTTATCGATTTCTCCATTGAAATTCTCGAGATTATCGGGTTCGAAACGAGATGATCAACGACGATATCGGTAAACGAGTTTCGATAAAGATACGAAGTGTGAATATTTTTTTTTTCGAAGAAGACCTGTTACCAATTTTTCTAATTACTTGAAACAGTAAAATTTGTTATTACGGTTGGTGATAAATACAGTTATTGATTTGGGAATTAGTCGATTTATTTAGGGATATGTATTGTTTCGTAATACGTTTCGTAATACCAGACACCGGTGATTGTAAACTTTTCGAAGGTTTAAATTATCGTTTTTGTTGCTCTTATTTGATAATATTATCAATACTGTTGCTTGTTTGTAATTCTTCTGCAAAAGCAATCCATGTAAAAGTTTTCATACACTTTTTCTGTGATCTTCAAATATTATATTTTCAACTACAATTATGTAAATACTATAATTTGTTTGATAATATGCAATTAGTACAAAACGATTTGTCTATCAAAATTTCAATTCCTTCGACAGTAAATATGAATACATATTTATTTATTATCCTCTTCATAGAAATTATACAGCACTAAATAAATTCTAACAACTAATGGTATAAAAATATCTACTCGAATATCTTCTTCTATGTAGACAGTTGAGAATCATAGTGGCGTAGGTTAGTATAAGTCAGTCTACCACCTTCCTTATAATTCATTATATTTTTTCAAGCCGTAAAAACATACCACGACAGAGAATAAAGTCATAACTGAATTAACTAAAGGACGCTTTTAAGAATCAAAGTACGCGATGAAGTTCAAATTCACGAGATCTTCACTCACGTCATTGTACGATTCTTTTCTCTTTTCTTAAACACTTCCAAGCTTATCTGTCACTTGTCAATCACCAACAATAAGCAAGTACCTTTCTCGCACTAAAAGTACAAATTCTTTCTACCTGTCGTCAAACGATCTTATTAAAGTTAAATATCAAACTTTCCAGCGACGATTCAAGTTCCTACATTTTTTCCCATAAAAGTACAAAATCTTTTCCTCCCATCGTCGAACGATTGATACGAAACTTTCGAACGATTGTTCGAGTTCTTACTTTCTAAAGCGTGGAACGTTTGTCACGATGAAATTCGAACGTTCGATTCGGATTAATTTTAAGAGAATGCAGGCTGACCACGCGTGGAATAGTCGAGTTTCCAGATATCCTCATTATGCACGATGGCCCTTCCCGCGTCCCATGTTCTTTCACTAACGCGTTCCTAGGAGCTTACGGTTCCTTCGTGTTCGTGTGTCGTTGACACCGCGTCCCGCGACCGATACCGTTCGTTTCTTGTTTTCTTTTATCTGGACACGCGTTCGTTTCTTCCGACGCGATTGTCTGGACCGCTTGGACATCCAAGCGGTTTCCACGGCGAACAAGATGCGCTTCTTTGCAACCGAGGACGTGTAAAGGGAAACCTATGGTTGGTCACCGGTTAGGACGTCCATGCGAGAATCGATCCTTCTAAACGATCCTTTTAAACGATCCTGATGGTGATGCATGAGAATGACGGTAGATTTTTAGTAGATACAGGTTCTCTGTTCGTGAGAGATTTGAAATGAAGCTCTTGCTGCGAAGAATGTCCGCTATTGCTCAGAAGTACCTCGCGTGTTTGTCCGTGTTTGATAAGACGTAATTCAGCCGTTTCATGATCGATGTTGCACGCAGCGTTGTACTTTTTCAGCGGAATAAATGCAAATTGCATTTCCGACAACACCATCCTTCGGTAACAACTGCAGTGATCTTGTAAATCGAAGGAGAACGATAAAGTGAAGAGTCGTATTTCAACAAGTTATCAAACTGTATATATGACAAATGTCTTTGCTATTGGTAATGCTGTTGCTCATTTTTTGCGTATAAAATATTAAATATTATATAAAAATATTACAAATGTAATATTAATTTAACGAAACGTATGGATAATAGATTTTAATTAATGGAATATGTTGAGTGATCCACGGGTTAACTGTCGTTTTATGAAAAAATGATACTTTTAAAATTTCTTTTACTTTTTAATTGCTTTGTTCGATACTGCTGAAACATTCTTTTATGAAAATTTTGTCAAACTATCGATACAAATATGATAGCGATCGATCGCTCAGTAAATGAGTAATAATATAATCGATAAAGAGAAAATTTGTCTTGCAATCCAAAATGGATCTAGGATGATTTTCTTCTATATCATTGTAAATATCCTAATATTTATGAAAAGGATTATACGATAAAATCATTTACAAAATTATTGATTATATATTTTAGAATAATTTCATTTTAAGCAATTATTTATCTATATCGACATAATTCTCCAGATATTCTGCTGATAAATCAATTGAAGTTTGAGACCAGCAAATCCGATGTACCATAAGATCATTGTTGGCTATTGTTCTGTGATAGCAACAATCTGGTGATAATTCGATTTCAAGCTTCAATTGACTCACCGACAGAATATCTGAAGAATTACGTCGATATAGATGAATAATTATCCTGTAGCTGGAGAATTTGATGAAAACGAAGATTAAGTGTAACGCATGGGTAAATTTGAATAGTCGTCTTTTACAATTTTCCCATCCCAGTTTGATTGAATGCTAATAAGATTTTTGTTCCTTCAGAAATATCCTGCGTCCTAAATGTTCTGCAAGAATTTTTCGTTCGCGGAAAGATCCAATAATAGCCATTTCTCAACATCCTCCTTTACCTAATAGAGTTATGATAGTCGTGTTCCATTACTTAAATAAGCAACTTTAATTGAAATACTTTGGCAAATCATTTTTGCTTGATCAAACATTACCTCGACAGTCTTAACAGCCTGCAACACTATGTATATAACTACACGCATAATGTGGCACATGCCACATTCTCCTCCAGCTTTGTTAGAGCAATCAATCATGCAAATCTAATTTAACAAAATAGACATTTTTTGATACTCGTACAGAGTTCAAATTGAATTACGCAAAATTATCTTCGTGTTCTGCGTCTTCTGTACATTTTTAGTTTTCCTTTGTACAGGTAACCGTTGATGCAACAGTTAGTTGCTCTAACGAGCCTGGGAACATTTTGCCAAATGATCGAGATAAGCGTACTTGATTATAACTAGCTTGCACAATAGCTTGTGAATTTAGGAGAACAAATTGTAATGAGTTATTCCTTATATTTATAGCGAATGGACTATGATTGGAGCTTCAATGAAACACAATTTCAGGAATTTGGCACGAAGAGAATTTCACTTTTTAAGAGACGATTTAATAACCATCGAAGAGTTATTTCGACTTATAAGAAATGTGTTCTACTAAAAGAAATTCTGTTGACGATAAACTATTTGGATGGTAACAAATTATCCTACGATCCTGTTAGCGAGACAAGTTATAGCTTGTACAAGAAAGCTTTTCAAGCCATAAGTAACGAATAGCAGTAATAGCTTCTGAAAACTAGAAAAACAAAGAATTTTATCCTTTTTAGTAATAGTAATAGAGTATTAACTTCGACAATTTCTAATTTATTCTTAATTTCTTATTTAATCAACCTCGACAATTTCTTATTATCACATTCATACAATCTCGCTTCTCTATTCTACTAATCGCGAAATATCAAACACTAAAAACGTTCTTTTAAAAGCAACAAGACAAAATTCATCGTTGGTGCATCAACTTTTGAATTAAACCATCGAAATAAGGATGTGCTATAGCGCTACTTGTAACATTTCATTTTCTCCAATACGCATAAAATTCTCTTCCACATGGTAAATAATTGAACAAACCTTAAAAGGTACGCGAACAAAGAATATCATTTTTCCCCGAAACAAGCGAAATAACGAAATAAAAAATAAAATAACAAGATAAGAATATCAAATTCAAGCGATATAGTCGACAATTTAAAAATCACATTATATGGAATAACAAATATTGCAATTACAATAAATAAAATCAAACATTCGTGGTGAGAAGAACAGATCCCAGTGCAATCTACTTTCCGTTTAATTTCCTCGATTTTCCAAAACCCTATCCTTAAACTTTCCACGAACTTCGCCATTATCGCTCCTTCCCCCCGTGAATTGTTTGCAAATGACTGCAGGGCACAACGAAGCGTGTCCGCAGAATTCCCTCGCACCCTTCGTTTCAATTTTTTTCTTTTCTTTTTTCTTTCATTTCTACTGCCTCGTAAGATGATCGCAGATAGCGACAGGCTTCGTTTTCCTCGCTCGTGAAAATTGTCCATGACCAGCGCAGGTGCGAACCACGTGATGACGACGTATTTTCAACGAACGAACGAGCGCCTAGCTCGCGTGTTTCCGATGGAATTGAGCTGTTGGAACACCGTGAAAACTCGAGGGGCGTATCATCACGCGAGCTGTTTTAACGCGAGCACGATAAGTCGAATCTCGCGCGACGACGTAAAAAGTAACGCCAATTATACCCGTTTGAAACACACTGATTCTACTTTTCCACGACTGAAACACGGTTCGATATAATTTCTTCTTATTTTCGAGCCGCGCCGTATTGTTAAATCTTTAACATGCCATTTCTTATTCCATCGTGCGTTAAGAACGGTGTTGCTTAAGCAACGTAGTACACGAAGAGGATTCATCGTCAGCATCTTATTAGGGTTCGTTTGGATTGATTCGCAACTTGCAGCAAACGTAAGAAGTCGAAGAAGTTTAAAACACTGGTGAACGCTGAGAAGGTGAGAGCAATTTATTGCGAAAAATTTATTTAAGCAACATATCGCGATATTTTTATATAATTTTATAACATTTTGTTTGAGGTAGCCACCCACATGATAATCAAATAGCTAAAAAATTCTACCAAATGTCCAAATTGGACAAATTGTGGATGTGAAATATTAAATAAAAAAAAACTTTGTTTGCTTATGCTGTCTTAAACGTTATTTAAGGATATCGTATAATTTGACGTAAAGTATATGCGTACGTGCTGTTTTAGTAAGCGTAAGGTACATGGATCGATTTGTATTTCGCGTAGCTATGATAGGATAAATTAAAATAAGACACGATAAAGTAAAGGAATAGTACTTCGCTATTTGCATCTTTCTTTTTAATTTTATTTTATTGCTTCGCTATTTTTGAAATTTTTACGATTTCACCGTTTACTATTCACGTGGAATAATAGAATAAAAAGTGAATAAATTCAAAGATCGTTTCACCGCAATCCTGAATATAATTCTAAATTATACCACATAATTTTTAATTGCATCTCATTTTTTAAAAAAACGTTCCTTACAAATTATACATAAATTTTCATGTGTTAACTCGTAACTCTTACTACACTTTGACGTTTTAAACGAACATTTCGATGATTTGTAATTTTATTCAACTCGATATTTTTTCATGCTCGAGTCCCGTAACAAGCGAAAGCCTCTTTTAAACGTTCTCTGATCTTCGATTAGAAGGTGTTTGCATTTTAAAAATTAGCACATCGACATAAAAATTAATAACAGCTCGGAACAAATTTCAAAGCGCATAGAATAAAATATTAATCGTTACAAGCTTCGTCACGCGTGTGTCCAGATGTTACAGTACAAAGAATTATTGATAACTAGCAGTCGACACGCGATCAAAGATTGATAGGTAATAACAAGGCATGGAAATTCCTGCCTTCTAAAAGAGCTAGATATTGCGGAAGGTCGAACTGCTGAGTTCAAGGCAGATGTTCCTTCTAATTTTTATTTCACAGCAACTGTTATTAGTGGAGCTAATGATTATATTCTAATGTATCTTCGATTGGACGTTGCTATTATAACACCGTTATAACTAATGATGGTTGAACAGGAATAAAGAAGCGTGAAGTATTAAGTGAAATCATTGCACAGTTACAACGATTATAGTGTATAGGTATAAAGGTTAAAAAATAATTAATTATCAAAAATAAAAAATAGCTGATGTTCATCGTTATATCGATCGGTGATATGATCTTCGTGGTTGTTTATGATTCATTGCAATTTTTCTACCAGTTTCTCTGTATCGTATAAAATTGTTCGCTCTCTCTTTGTAATAAATTTATTTATATTATTCCAGCGCGAGGTTCAGATTTGGATCTTCTTTAAATTCCTGGATCCTCATTTGTACAGACGTCGCCAATTATAAGCTACGATCACGTTACACGTTCCCTTGTTGGGATTTTTAAAATGTACAACGCTGTAAGCACACTTTTCCCACGCGCGTAGTTTATGCTTTTTCGTTGTTGACAGACTAATTAACAAATTTCTAAAATTTTACTCGTAGTGTATACCACATAGAAAAAGTTGGAATAATTTTACAGTTATCTAATGCTACGTGTTAATTGTTTCGTATTTGCAAATCTCATCCATGAAAAAATAAACAAAATCTTTCGCCAGATCTAATAAAATTTACATTAAAAATACATGAAAAGAACTATCTATCGTTGCTTACAATCTAAATGTTAAAAGAAAATGAATTGCGTAGAAGCTGATAACTGATAGCTGAACTTGATACGAATATAACAACTATTACAAATAAGTAACTTTAGGCTTGTGATTGCGGTCGTCATTACGTAACGAATGACATAGATAATGAATTAATACGTTATTTAATAATATATTACTCAATCATTGTAATTAGTAAACTTGTGATCCATGTTTCCTATTCCTTTCGAAAAAATCCTTTCTATCGAAATTAATTTATTCTGTAACCTTTTCTACGAATTCCACAAACGTAAATTATCGTTTTTAGAGAATATTCCTGTCAGTTATAATCGAGGTTCGCGGCGATCATCCGACAAAAATTATACTCGGATCGATCCTGCGGTTTTAGGCTTCCTGGAGTACCATTTCGTCTGTGACGCAATCTTATTGTCGATTTATTTCAGCGAACGTTTTTAGGCTGCGAGACTGATTCAGCGAAATTCTAATTGTTGGATTTTTTTAATGTCGTGATAATGTCAAGGATTCTACGTAAAATTTCTTGTTTCGCCATCACGTGTGTACGATAAAAATTCAGATTTTATTTTGAAGTATAAAATGTGTCTGTATAATCGTGAATACAGTCAGAAGGAGAGTAATTGTTCAAAAACACAAAAGTCGAAACTGCAGGATAAAATTTGTGTCTGTGATTCATTAAAAAAGAAGAAGATTCTCATTAGATACGTGCGTATTAACTGTGAATGTAGATTTGATCAAATTCTATTTCTATTCTCATTTGTACTTTGAAAATGCGAACTGACTTCCTGATTTGTTTTCTCCAATTTTTTCTTCCTATCTGAATTTTAAAAATATGAACAATGCTCTGATCTGGTTCTTTCAATAAATATTATTTTACTATACATATTCTTTTATTTAATTTATAAACGGTGATGAAATAGGATATTATTATCCTATTTTAATTCATTAAAGGTTTCCTCTTTACCCAAGATTTCTAGACGACCTGAGAATTATGAATTATTCATTCTCCCGAAATTTTCGTCGAAAATATTACGCTTACATTACGCATAACATTATAGTTACTATAAATTAACGTCCTGAAAAAAGAAAACAAATGTCACTATCTCCGAACGTTAGTATACGTCTTTTCATACCGTAGGTATCTAATTACGAGTGCAATAGCCGGCTAAACTAATCGATCCTGACATGCAAAGAGTACGAACGATTCTCTTTTCTATCGTTCCAAGGAAACATCCCGGAACGTTAATGATTTAACGTAGAGCCACTTAGCCAACGAGTTATCGTGACAGCTTGGAAAATCGTATCCGGTGAAAAACACGCGAACAGCCAATGTCGTTGGAACGAATCGGTCGCGATCGAAAGTGCAGACTGTAGACACAGTGGCGTCACGTTCGCCGAGTCAGTGAGAGTTCATGGTAATAATGGCCCCTTCGTAACATTGCTTGCCTTTGGAAACCATTACTCCGCGCGATACCTATACACCACACATGACTTTCGTTTCTTGTAAATAGCCAGGTTATAAGAAACATGCGATCGAAGAAGATACGGAAACGTAGAGAAGCTATCGGATACACGTATTCCGTTAGTTTTATTACGGCTCCATTTTTCTTCATTCGTAATCTCAGTCTTATTTTTATTCTGGTCTTGCAACGTGTTTTGCAGATATACAGTTACGTGTTGTTCGGTTTGGGTAAATTTAGGGCAATTTCCTCCTATAGCAGCTTTCGTTCGGAACGTGTCTCTTTTTTCCCTCTTGTCAATTTTCGGGCAATTTAGTTTGGGATCTATTCTTGTACACGTGTAGAGACAATTTTCTTTTGGAAGAGATTTCTTTGAGAGCTTAGATCCGTTCTTCTTTCCTGTCAATTTCGAGACAATTCTTTTCTATACATGCTAAGATCAGGAATCTAAAACAATTGCGTTTTAGAATGGTTATCGGCGAGAACAATTCCGCTCCTCTTGTCAGTTTTCCGACACTCGTTTTATTTGTTGTTTTATCGTGCCTGTCGAAAATTGGCGACGCGTCATTATACACTCACGTGCAATTCGATAAAGTGAAACTAAAATCAGAAGGAAAGCTATCGTATCTCGGACTTTTAATAAACTGAGTACCATTTTTATCGTGGATGTAATTCGATGTTGTAAGCGTTAAATAATTAATTTATCAGAATATCGTCACTATAATACGATCATTTTATCAGTACAGCGTATTATATTTATTATGGAGTAGAATTTCGATTATTAAAAGCAGCTTCCTGTTATTAAAAACAATGCGAATGTTTCTAGGAAATGCTATCTGTTGGCAGATTGAAATGTAAATGCTAGGACAAATTTCAAAATGTTGCGACCAATTTTGAAGGTTCTAATTTACTCATATGACAATAGAAATAAGACAACAGAAAATTTGTAATTGCCACACTTTTCCTACACAAGCTATCGACATCCATTGATCAAACTTCTGCATCTTTCTAGTTAAAATGTCCTATTTACTATCTTTTTTTTACTTCAAACATGTAATACGTAGAATGTAGATGCGACTGAAGTTTCTTAGGTCTTTTATCTTCTAAATTAAATAACATTATACAGACCCTTGCGAAGAAAATGAGAAAAGAAAATGATAAAACATCAGTTTTTTACGACGTCCAAATGACACGTAAGACGCACCTAGCTACGTAGAATATCCTGAATTTCCTACATAAAATGTTCTAGAGATCGTCAAAAATGATAGTTATCTAAGAAATATGTACTTATATCAGAAGAACATGTTTCAAAACAGAAAGGTTGCAATTAACCTAATTTCTCGCAAGAATGTAGAATGTGTTCTAATACTTGTTCCAAAAGTCACTGCACTGATCTACTTTACTTTACTTATACTTTACCTTGAATCAGTGGAAGATTCAATGTATATAAAAAGAAATAAAGACGAACCGGTAGACGTTCAATGTGATAAATCGCAACGGTGATCGAGGCTTAATAGTAGTGTTTTGAAAGCAATTAACTCAATCCGTCTAATTGAAAGCGGCTAGAAGTGGACGTTCGAAAGAAAATTACGGGAAACGTTAGTCCTTTCGTGAGATTCAGTCAGACAGACTGAACGTTTTAAACGAGACCGACAATCCCAACGACAAGCAAAATGACTTTAGCGAAATTCCACTCCTGTCTCGAGTATTCCAGGCAAGCTTTTATAAATTCTTCGTAAACTATTCTTTGATAGACGTTCAATCGGTATACAGAAACATTTCAATACACTGTTAATTATTGAGATAACT